AACTGCTACACTTCTTGAAGTTGAGAAATCGATTGCAAGATTCATATATTACTCATATCATGTAATAAAAAGAATAACAAAATAGATAATAAATATGCACACGTAATTTACATTTCAAATATTTTTATTGTATATCGTAACTATAACAATTATTTTTTTTATCTCAATCTACAGCGTAATAAGTGTCATTAATGATTTTCTTCAAGTATGCGTTCGCTTTTTATTATTTATTTATTAGTAATAAATTACTAGAGAGACTTTGATTAAATACAATGTATTCAACAATACCCGTATCCCACGTGATCTAGTAGATATAATAAAGTTTAAAAAAAAGAAGAGATCAAAAGTCTTCTTCCCCTTATGGAACTTGATTTTTGCTAAAAATTTTAAATTGATAAAATTTTTCATTTTTGAGTTAATTTTTTTTTAATATTTCAACTCCTCTTATCCCCAATTTTTATTTAGATTTTTTCAGAATCAATAGGCTTCATATCCTTATATAGCTTAATTTTTACTAAAAATTTTATGTTGATATTGTTGGAAATTTTATTGAAGATTGGTTTTATGGATTTACTTTGGGAAAATTAATTACTTTTTGTATGACAATAATATTTTATTTTTATTTGTCAAAAATTACAAAAATTCAAAAATTAACATCGCATATTTCTTTTGAAACCAAATACAACATACATACAGAGTGATCTGACGTTACTCAGCCAACACCCCCACTCGACAGATCAATCTGCCACAATACACAAATTACTTCTAAATGTAACAGATATCGCTTTTTTTATTATTTATTTTTTTTTATTTCAACCCCCCTTAAACCTCCCATTTTTAATCAGATTTTTTTTCAAAATCGATGTGCTTTTTCCCTTATAGACCTTGCCTTTTTGCTAAAAAGTTCATGTTGATATCACTTTTCGTTTTTGCTTTATGCTTTTTTTAATTTCAATCCCCTTTAACCTCCCTCCATTTTTTTTCAAAAGCCTCGTCCCCTTATAGAGCATGAGTTTTGCTAAAAATTTTAAGTTATCATTTTTATTTTTTTGAGTTAGGATTTTTTTTTATTTTACAACCCCACTTGACCCTACATTTTATTTAGATTTTTTTTTCAGAATTAATAGACGTTATCTCCTTATAGAGCTTAATTTTTACCAAAAAATTTCATGTTGATATCGCTTTTCGTTTTTGATTTATGATTTTTTTTTATTTCAATCTCCCTTAACCCCCCATTTTTAATAAGATTTTTTTCAAAACCATAAAGCTTGCTTTTTGTTAAAAATTTCAAGTTGATATCATTTGTAGGATTAGGATTTTTTTTAATGTTTCAACCCCCTCAACCCCTCATTTTTATTCACATTTTCTCAAAATAAATAGGCTTCGTTCCCTTATAGAGCATGATTTTTCTAAAATTTTCAACTTGAAATCATTTTTCGTTTTTGACTTATCGTGAGGACAAAAAACGTGACTACTGTGTGAAGAGTATAATAATGTATCACAGGCAATTCAAAAGATTCATAAAAATATATTCTTATATATGTATTTTTTTTCTATTCCGATATTAGATATTTTGCACTAAAAAAATAACTTTTAAGATATTAAATAGATCTAGGTCATAGACAAATTTTGATTATTCACAAATAATTAATAGTCACTTTTCGTATGCAAATATAAGCAATATTTTTCAACAAATATTCGCAGACGTTCTAGAATTTTTACACATTTGCATTTTTTATAATGTACAGCTTGCAGTTTATTTATATTTTTATAACATTGAACTCTTTCCAATACACAGTGAAACAAAATTCAACAAAGTATTAATTATTATAATTTCGCAATCATTACATTTCACTTTTAATAATAATTAATTAATAAAGCATGATGAATTAAATATTTTAAAATTACTATATTTTTTTAAGGCATTGTAAAAATTTGTTTTAATATAAATGTTTTATTTTTTATTTCAATTTACTTAAATAAAAACTTGTTTTAAACAAAAAAAAAAAATTATCTAATAAGTATTATGGATTTTTACAAAGTAATTTTTTATGTGTCTGTTTTGTAACTGTTAGAAAATAAACACCTGAATTAGACGAGTAAATGAATCATATTTTTATGCCCTTTATTTCTTTAGTTCTGGTTAAAAATCACCATAATATAGTGTAGGTATAATAAGTAGATTTCGCAAATTTTTGTGAGTATGAGTAAAAAAAGAGGTCTCAAATTTTCTAAATACAAATTTAATTTAAAATCTCAAAAAACTTAATCAAGTCTTGATTATCAATAAAAGTCAATAACTCATTTTGATTTGTATGGCCTTCTAAGTACAAGTCGTACCATGCTGTTGAAAAGTTGGCATAGAGAATGTGTTGCAAGATATAATCTAGTTAAGTATTTATTAATTAATTTTATGAATGGAATAAAAAGTAGTAATAAATTGTAATTTGAATACAACCCACTTCTTTTATAAATAAGATTTCGTACTCAATCAAATTAATTATTAATTTATTAAATTGGAATATATGGTTAGTTTAATTAACAGTTAATTATTTTTATTAGAAACATAGGGTTGAATATAATCAAATTTGTTCCAAGATGTAATTCTACTTCAAATCAAATATTTTACAAAAAATTAAAGTAAGGTAGGTCACAATTTTATTCATAAAGGCCCATGTTGATAGTACTAGATATCAAAATTGCTTATACGCCAATAATGTAGGTACTATGTTAAATAAACAATAAAAGTGTTGAAAAAAATTACAGGGTGTACCAACGATAACTTGATGTTACAATTTACTACTTCATTTCCATGGCGTTTAGTTACAAGGACTTTTTCAGGGCGACAAATCACAATTAACAAAAGACACAACTACAATCTATTATCGCCGTTAGGATATTGGGTAAATTTTTCAATAATATCATTACATATGGAGGAGAAAAAAAATTTTATAAAATAAGTACTTCAGGATGCCGTTTCAATTTAGTAATGAAAAATATTCAGGCATTATTTTTGTGTTCGGATTTTGTAACAGAAACGGTAGAGCAGCAGTAAGAGAGTATCGAAGACGCTTTCCTAATCACCGTTTACCAAATTCTAAAACATTTTTACAGGTTTTCGAATTCAGTAAGCAACATGGAAAGTTTCCAACTATAGTTAAACATGAACATGCTCCGAGAAATAATCTTAGACAAGAAGAGGAGATAGCTCGATATAATCCTTCTATCAATGTAAGAAGAATTAGTAATGAATTAGCAGTACCGATAACAAGAGTATAGAAAACTTTAAAAAAAGAAAATTTATTTCATGTTATGTACAAAAAGTACAGCGACTTGAACACGGAGACGACGTACCCCGCTCATCTTTTTATAAATGGACTTTGGCCCACAGAAGGACAATATCGAAAATTTAATTTACTGATGAATCTCAATTTACACGTGATAGGATCAATAACACTAGGAATGATCATATATGGGCAATTGAAAATCCTCACACTGTATCACAAAAACATTCCCAATATAGATTTTCTATAAATGTATGATGTGGTATTTATAAAAATCATTTAATAGACCCTCATGTTTTTGAAGGCAGATTAACAGCTGAAGTTTATTTAAAATTCCTATCCTGCCAAATTTGTTAGAAGGGATTAATACCAGAGGAATGTGATCTCCAGATCTAACACTTCTGGATTATTTTTTATGGGGCTACCTTAAATCAGAGGTGTACAACGAAGAAATGAATATCCGAGCAGAGTTATTGGAAAAAATTAATAATTTATTGTCATGGGAATGTCTAAGCCGTCCCTGTAGAACGCTACCTTCAGCCTGCCACTGGACTCATGGTCGAAACACCACTGACGTATAAAGACAAACGCTCCGCATCTCGAAACTACCAGAACAAGCGGTACGTGCGCGACGAGTCATAGAGATGGAATTCTAGGACATTCCACATCGTCTAGAATCTTCTCGTACAGAGTTGGAATTGGTATAAATAATGCGACTTATCGACGGACGAGTAGTTTAGAATAAAGTATTGGAGTGAACAGATATTTTGTAATAAATAAATTAGAATTGTGAGTTAGTGCCTAAATATTATATAAATTAATTAGTAGGTACGTCATAAATAAATTGTAAATAGTGTCTTAAATAAATAAACTACAAATAAATTAAAATATCGTCACAGTATGTAACAACATTAGAAATAACCTGTTAAAACGTTCGCAGGGGTGTATTGACTTTCACCGTATTCATTTTGAAAATCTACTTTAGTTTTAATTAATTGTTTTTGTTAGTTTGTTCTGTTACTTTATCAAATATGTTGAGCCCGGTCCTGTGTAGATGTTCAATTTCTTATTGGAAAATGTAGTAGCTAAAAATAAATGGAGATGTGTAGAGTTTTAAAAATACAGAGTAAAATATTTGATTTCAATTTTGTAAATACTGATTTATAATATTATAAAAATTTACTGTAAAAAAATCAAGATGGTGCTATTGAATATTATTACATTCTTTTATTTATTGAGCCACGTATTATTTAAATGTGCAGTAACATTTATTAAAATCCGATATACAGGGTGATATTCTAGCTTAGAGCAATATAAAAAAAGAGAGCCTGGTCCTGGAATTTTTTAAAATTAAATTATGGCTTTGATTAACCTAGTAGAGTGTAACGTTTGTACAAAATTTTATCAAATTATCTGTAGCCGTTCAAACAAAATGGCCGACTTTAGTTTTGGCAAAAAAATCGTAAAACACTCTATATCTCAGAAACGAGTGAGATTAAAGGCTGAGTCTGGGAGTATTTTGAACTCAGCTAAGTGTACTCTACCTCCCATTAAGTTGTGTCCGTTTAAATCTAAAACACCCTGTATGTAGTCTATCGATGAAGAAAAATTATTATAAAAATTTAATATAGTAAATTAAATTGAATTTAGATGGCGTTTGCTATTAAATTTCCCCTGAAATGTCCAAATAATTTTTAATAACTCCATTTGTTTCAGATTGTATGGATAGCTAATACAATAATAACCTGCCATTCGCTTTGTTCGCACACATACGGAGCTGAGCCATGTACAAAATACATACCAGCACTTCCTGGTAAAACACCCCCATGTGCACAACCTGGATACACATACTGTGAGCACCCGGATCGTTATCCCGGGTAAGTGATTGTTCTGATATAGTATGGAGTCAACTACAAACAATGTTTCTTGAGTAGACCATGAAGAAAACACGCATGTCGAAGAGTACAATTTTTCTTTTCTAAATGATAGTTTGAATTTAATCACTGTAGCTGTGCTGTGCAAAAATCTCAGCCATAGAAAATGTTTTTTATTAAAAAATTTTAAAATTTACGATAATAACATCTTAAAAACTTATTATTGTTTTTTTTTTTAAATAAATACTACGGGTTAATTATTTTAATTAGTTTTAAAGAATACAATTATACCAAATTGCTTTTAACCGATAGATTTAATTCATCAAATTCTATAACGAACCATGCAAATTAATTAAGAATTCACATAGTCTGCTGAAGGATTCGAAGCCGCATGACTCTCAACCACAAAATTTCCTGTAATTGAAAACAAGCGTGTGAGATAACTACTTCACCGAGCACCGAGACTATATTCAAAATTATTAAAAAAAAAAACAAATCATAAACAATCTATCTAAAACGATAATGCAACACAGGACTAATGTGAATACTTTAAAAAACTATTTTTTCAGACAGTTGATCAATTTCCTTGTTAAGAAATGGAAGTACGATCACACGACATTGTTCAGTTCGGAATCAAAGGAAGATTATTCTTCATATTTTTATCCACCAGTGAATCCAGTTTATGGACCTCCAAATTACCGTCCGCCAACTTATGACCACCAACAAATGATTCCCCAGCAGCCGATACCACCCCATGCTGGCGCTCAACAACAAAATGGTTACCCGGAGCCAATATATATACCAAAACCACAATATCCTTTTCAAGATGAAGGTATTAACTATATTTTAACATTAATAAAGCATTTAGAATTGATAATAGCTTTACCATAGATGAATTCAGACGATTTAAATTATTTGTCCAAACATATTTGACTCGGAACCTTCATAAATCAAGTTCAAGAGTCCACGTGCAGATTTGTGACTTATTTTCTTATGACTGATTTTATTATTATGTATCCAACGAAATCAGAAAAGAGCGACGTTCAGACCAGTGTGCATGCCTCTAGAAAACTTAATTGCTCACCTACAAAAAATATTGAACCCTCATCAATTTCGCTGGGCCATTTTCTTTCTCCAACGTTTTAAAGTAATACATAAATACGCGCGATTTATTTTCTTATGACCGATTTTCGGTTAATTTTGAAGTTTTTGTTATGCGTTTCACTAAATTTACCTTTTCCACCAACTTCGCTGGGCTATTTTTTTTTTCTCAAACGTTTTAAAGTAACTTAATTTCAAAACACGGAAGGATTCGAACCCACCTATCCTTGTTCTACGCCACACCGCTCTTACCAACTGAGCTATTTGGGACATGCCACTGTTTTCCCAATTGTTAAGATTTGTTGTTATTGTTTAATATCTTCTTGACCCAGTATCGGATTGGGAACTCCAGGGCCTACCGGCCACGACGGAGAAAGGCCCATCATTTTTTCCATGGACCAATTCCTTGAAGAGCAAAAAAAGGTCCTATGAGGGTTTCTCCGCATTTGTTGTTCTCAAGGGCTCACTGCCTGAACGAGTGCCCACTGCTTAAACGGTCTTTTGATCGGTAATCTGACGGCCCAATCCGACACTGTCTGGACCTATTAAAACTTTCTTTCCATGGAAACGGTGTTTACATCAAGACCAAAATCCTGGATTTGCCTATGGTCTTCACCTTCGTGAATTTAAAATTAAAGTAAAAACTATAAATAAGACTATTTTCAGGATATAATTACCCACCTCCAAATTATTACCAACCACAAAACTTTACTGGATATTCAGATCCCGGAAACACCAAATACAGTAACCCTTACGTAGGCCAACCTAATAGACCTTGGTACCAGCCATATCAACAAGTTTTGGAACAACCTCAGTATGGACAGTACAACAATTTATGGAAAAGGTACAAAATTAAAATTCGTTGTCTATTAGATATTCCAACACATACTTTGATTTTCTTTTACTATACGGAGAATGGTCGCACTGCGCAGCTTTCTGAGTGCCTTTTAAAAGGAGATAGAAAACTCCGCCATTTTGAACCCTTATTACGTGTTGCCTACATCTTGGCGCAATATTTTTAATGGGTGCGTTTTAATCATCCGCTTCTGCTTCGGAATTGTCGGTTTTGTTGTTTTAATCTGACAGGTTAGAACGACTGAACTAACAATTCCGGAGGCAGAAGCGGATGATTAAAATGCACCTGATATTTTGCTTGCTGCTGTCAGTGTCAGTGAATATTATTTTTGGAGTCACAGTTTATTACTAAAGAATCAGTTAGCTCACTCGGACCAGTTGAAAGTTCCAAAATAGCACCCACTCCAGGGATACAAATTCAGGATACGCAGAAGACTGCTGTTTTATTATAGGCGGTTGTCATATATTGTATTATCTGAATTGCGCAGTGTATAAACTGGAACATTGATATCAAAAGTGCCGACGCAGAGTGAGCGATCTGATTCTTTAGGTATAAACTGTGTCATAGGAATCAAAATGGCCGCGCCCTATGTTGGGCGTGTCGGACCTCTCTCTTGCCCCGTATAGTAATCAAAGTATGTGTATTCCAACGACCTGTCCAAATGGCTACCAGTGGGATCTGACGTGGATCTGACAGTTTAGATATGGCAACCCTGTTGGCATGTTGTTATTTACAGGGTCAATGATACATATATAGTTATATAGATTGCTTAAAGTGGGTCGTTTGCGAGCGGCCATATTGCCTGACAAGTATTCATTAATTTGAATCGGTTTAGCAAAAATGTGTTTTAAAACCAATTTTCAGCCTTTGAAAATTAAAAAAAATGCTTACATTTTACTTCAAGGCATAAGGTTATGTTTATTTTTAAAACCATGGATGATCAATCTATATAACTGTCTATATTATTGACCCTATCAAACAACCAGGCTCACAGTGTTGCCATATTATAACCTGTCATGTGCCTCTCAGTGGCCTGTCATTTCAAACGGGCAGCCATTTTGTTTGTAATGCCTAATAAAAATGGTATCATTTATTATACTACTAGACCGTCAGATAGTGACCGATTAAGGTGCCCCATTTTCGCATACAAGCCTCGAAGAGGATTGAAAAGTACATCGATGTTGAGTAGAAAAAAAGAAAATTTACGAGTGGCTCTTGGGGATACCACATGGAAAATTCGATTTTTCTTATCAGAAAAACTGTCCGACCCGACATTCAGGTCATTTAAGAAAATATATTTTTTGAACTAGTGAAGATGTACGTTTTCATACATTTGATGGGCTTGTGTGGAAAAATCTGGTAAAATCTCGATTTTTCCTTTCATAATTTTCCATGTGTTATCCCCAGGAGCCACTCGTAAATTTACTTTCATTCTACTTAAAATCGATGTAATTTTTAACCCTCTTCAAGGCTTGTATGCGAAAATGGGGCCCCAAAACCTGTCACTATCTGACGATCTATACCCTTGATAATAATGTCTACATAAATTTTACAGATCCGTACATCAAAATAATCGAAGGTACAAGAGATCACAAAAATTTAAACGAATGCCAAGAATCTATTCAGGGAAATTTGAGAATAGTACATCATTGAATAGGAGTAAACGTCAAACAGCACCAGGACAACGAACGTTGTGTCCAATTAGGACCCAATACATTATTCCCAGAGCAGCACTTAACAATAAAGGAAACTGGATGTACGTTGTCAATATGCCGGAAGTGGATTCTAGAGTAACACAACTAGTCAAAAGTGAAATTTGCAAGTAAGTGTTCATATAATTAGACATTTTAACAACCTATCAAACAATAGAGTTGCGATATTGAACACCATTTTTATTCGAAATAGTGGTCGTAAAGCATGCCAATTTAAGAAAAATGTATAGGCGTTTCTTTTTAATATTTTTATAGTGTTCTACATAAAATGCAACGTTGTTCTTGGGGTTCTTGATTATCTATTAACGAGTTCGGATGTCGAAACCATGTGTCTTCATAGTTCAACTGGTAAGAACATGGACGGCTACAGTACGAAGGTTCCAGATTCGATTCCTGATCGATGCACTCATTTTTCTTTCTTTAATTCTCAGCTTTTTCAAGTTCTCTTTGGTTTGTTTTCACTTTGGGGGATAGGGGGGTGTATTTTTCATAATTGGGATTATTCATTTTCTTATTTTCAAAATTGCAAAAAGTAAAATATTTCAAATTAAAAGGAAAAAAAAAACAAAATTATTGCAAAAAATGATTTATAAATGATGTTTTTCTAATATTTTTGATTATGAAATGAGGTACATTTTGTCAAAATTGTCTTGGGGTATGTTTTCCTATTCTACTAATGTTGCATCAATAAGTATTGCGACATTTCCTGCATTGTTTCGACGAGCTCTAACCCTTCTTTTGAGCTGGTCCCAGAAGTGTTAGATAGGATTTAGGCCTGGTGAACATGCAGGCCAGTCTAAAACTGTGACACCTTTCGTTTTATAACATTCTCTAGCCACTCTGCTGGTATGGGGAGGTGCATTATCGTGCATAAAGATAAAATTATCCCCAATTGCAGGTCCCCAAAGCTTAACGATTGGTTCTAGCACTAAATCAACATACCTCGGACCGGTTAAAGTTTGTTGAAGTGGTAACAATGGAGTTTTTGCTCCCAGCATAATACTTCCCCAGAACATTACAGTTTCTCCTGAATATCTTGGGACAAATCTGGCAGCGTGAAGTCTTGCTCATCTTCCTGGAGCTCTGAGAACCCGAATTCGATGGTCATCTTATCTTAGGCCAATTCTGGTCTCATCCGAAAAAAAGAACATTTTGCCAGTATTCAATTGTCCAGTTTTGGTGTTGAAGGCATCAATTTAGCCGGTCAATTTTATTTTGCCTAGATAACGTTGGGACCTGTAACTCTCTCCTACTGTACAACCCTCGACCGCAAAGTATTTTTCTTAGGGTTTCAACTGAAGCGTTCACACTTGTAGCTTCTAGAAGTTGTCGTTGTAGCTCTGGATGAGAAATACTGGGATTTCTTCTAGTAATTTGGCACACAAAGAGGTCTTGTTGTTTAGTTGTGACTCTTTGACCACTTTGTCTGGGCCTGTTCTTGAGAGTTACCTCTGCTATGTCTCATTGGGACATTCCTTGTTCAATGAGAGCAATAATGCTCTCCCTCTGCACATCTGTTAGTCCAACATAAGGGCATTTTGTTGGTTTTTTGGACTGAAATAAAATTACCGGAGGATCGTGATTTTATTTCTGAACACAAAATAATAAATCGCAGCAGTCTTCCTTACAAAAGGTTTATTCAGAAATACACAGTGATTCCATATAAGTTTGGTTGTGTGTATCATACTTGTAGGAAATGATTTAACAATATACTATTTAAAATCGTTTTATGACAAAACAGCTCAGGAAAAAATGGCGCAGGTCAAAATAGCTCAGCCAAAAAAACCAAGACACAATAGTGCAAGGACAAAATAGCACAAGGACAAAATAGCACAAGTACAAAATAGCGCAGGACATAAAAGTGCGTGTCAAAATATTGAAGTATTCTAATTAAAAATTATAAAAAAAAACTAACTAATTTGCCTAACCTGGGCAGCCTGAAGCAATCGCAGGTTGCTAAAAAAAATTGACATAAAATTAGAAAAAAAATTGTAACTAATTTACCTAACCTGTGCGGCCTGGAGCTTTATTTAGCAACCCGCCATGGCTCTAGGCCGCACAGGTTAGATACATTAGTTTAAGTTTTTTTTTTTTTTATTAGAATACTGATAAATTTTGTCATTCGTTAATTTGTTTCACTCTTTTATGAAAAACAGCTAACTTGATTCACTATCATTAGACTAGGCGTTAATTGGTCTCACTTTGTTTATATCAGGCGCTAACTTGTCTCTCATGTATTTGTATCGCGCTAAAATGGGTCGGATCCTAAAATATGAGCTAGACGGAACCACAGTTCAAACATTATCTATGTACATAGACGTCTTCGAAATAGTATAAATTTGTTATTTCAATTTATTTCATTAATTAAAAGAAAATGTCTTGTTCGTTACGCACTATTTTGTCCTTGCGCTATTTTGTCCTGCGCTATTTTGTCCTTTGCGCTATTTTGTCCTTGCGCTAATATGTTCTGCGCTATTTTGTCCTTTGCGCTATTTTGTCCTTTGCGCTATTTTGTCCTTGCGCTACTTTGTCCTTGCGCTACTTTGTCCTGTGCTATTTTGTCCCTGCGATATTTTGTCCTGCGCTATTTTGTCCTGCGTCATTTTATCCTGCGTCATTTTGTCCTGCGCAGTTTTGTCATGGAGCCATTTAAACTATAACATGCAAAGGTAGACACGAGGGAGTTGGTTTATTAAATGAAGCGACCAGTTTCGAAATATAAAACTTCATTTTCTGAGAAGAGAAAAGAACAAAGTTAACCAAATTAATATACTAACATAACGTAGGATAGTTGAAAAGTTACCATGGGTAATAAAGAAAAAGTTCAAAAAATTAATGCAACCATAGAAATTAGAAATAAGCAGTAAAACATTCTAATTGCTTTCCTACACATTCATTTCTTAAATATTTTAGAATTAATTGAGCTATTTTTCAGTTCCCAAACCTGTGATGGTATCTGCAGTTTACCAGATGGATATACGTCAAAATGTGAACAAAAATACGTACAAAAGAGGCTAGTAGCTTTAGAAAGCGAAGGAAATCAACTCTATACAGACGTTTTCTGGTTCCCAAGCTGTTGCCTTTGCACCCTTACCCTGAACACAAATACTTGAAATACCTAATTTTAGAGTCCCCGAATGTCATCTTGACTTTTTCAACAATGTTTATACTGCCTTAATAATATCAAACAATAGGACTGACATTTTTTATTATGAATTTCGTATAATTTATGGGAATGTTGAACTCTCATAAAAATTGTAACTTTAAGTAACTTAATATTTATTTAAAAACAGTATAATAAGTAATAAATAATAAACCTTTATAGTATTTTTTTATTGAGAAAACATTGTTAATCCTACTTTTTTGTATAGTTAATTTATCCAAAAAATTGATTTTTTGATAATGAACATTTTTTTTTATAAATTAAGCATTTGTTAAAGGTTTCTCATATTTTCTTTAACCACAGGAATATGCCATATAAAAACATTATGAAAATTCAAGATACGAATAACGCAGATTTTGTTATTGGAGAAGAAATTAAAAATTATCTTACAGCTTCCTGATGAGCACCAATGATCCGGATAAGAAATTATTTTAAGCAAGTGATAGCTTTGATTTATTTCAAAATACATTTAAGAAATAAACTTATTAACTTATTTGTACACGTAATTATTATTATTAAGGGTTTTGTAAAAAAATTAGTTTAAGATGTTTTAAGAGGCTCCACACTAAAAAATAAATTATTAAATTGAAACAATTTTTTATTATAGATAACGAGTGATCCATAAAAAATGTATCTAAAGTATGGCATGACCGATAAAGACGTGTTAACTACGCACGTCTTGGAATTAAACCCAAACTGTTATTTAAAAAAGAATGAGAGTTGTATGTTCTGACATGTGTGGTTTTTGCCAAGAAACATTTTTTGTGGATCACTCTTCCAATGGAGGAGAGAGAGAAACAAATACAGAACTAAAATATTATTTTTTCCTGTGTATAATACATTTTTTTTCTGTGACGGAAAAATACCGGTATAATATGTTGAAAAACATATACAAAATTTTGTTTTTCAGGCCCCGGCAAGTGGCGAAAAACAAGAAAATAAATTGTTTTTTAAGGTTATTTAAATACGATAGGTGCTATAAAAGTTCCTAATAAAAATTGCAAAGCATAAAGTTGTTACATAAAAATAGTTTCTTTCTATTATTTACTCAGAAAAATATAAACTTTCTTTTCAGAAAATTAATTTTTTTATTTGTTTTTTTTAAAGTTATAATAATTTTAATTTATAAATTTTCAATATATTATACGACTTTATATGGTAAAATAAATTTTAAAGTGAACTTATTATGGCTTGCCCTACATAAAAAATATGAGGAGTGACTAATAAAATCGACATTTCGACAGAGTTCCATTAAATAAATAATTTTTTATAAAAACAAATAAAAAAATAAAATTTAAAAAAAAAATAAATGAAGATAATAAACAATTAGTAAATAAAAATAAATATATAAATAAAATTAAACAAAAGTAAAAGAAAATAAATACAAAAAATTTAAAATAAATAAAAATAAATTAACTTAAGTAAAAATAAATTTAATTTATAGAAAAAGTAAAAATAAATAAAAATAATAAAAATAAATAAAACAAATAAAAATTAGTAAATATATAAAAATAAATAAAATTTATTAAAAATGAGTAAAAGTAAATAAAAATAATTCAAAATAAAAAAAGAAAAATAAATAAAATTAAATAAATAAAAAAAAATTAATCAAAATAAATAAAAATAAAGAAAAAAAATAAATATAAATAAAAAGAAATATATAAGTAAAATTAAATAAAAATAAATAAAACTAATAAAAATAAATAAAAGAAAAAAAAAATATATTATTTAAAATTGTAATGAAAAAATTCGTTTGTTAATTTTTAAAATATTTTTTAAATATATTTTTCTAGGCAATCACTTTTTTTAGCAGCTGAACAAAAAAGAATTTGGATATCTGATTATTTTAGACATATTTGAGTTTATTTTAAAGAACTGTTATTTTATTTTTTTTTATGTTTTTTTATTTTTATTTATTTTTATTTATTTTTATTTTTTTATTTTTATTATTTATTTTTATTTATTTTCATTTTTTTATTTTTATTTATTTGTATTTATTTTTATTTAAGTTTTTTTATTTATTTTAAATTTTTATTTTTTTATTTATTTGTATTTATTTTTAGAAAAATTTATTATTTTATTTTTTTAATAATTATATTTATTTTCATTTTTTTATTTTTATTTTTTTTTATTTAACTATTTTTATTTAATTTAAATAAATTCTTGTAGGATGCACAATGGGTCAAATGAGACCTAAGTGCAGTGTAGCTAAAATCACTACATCTGTTAAGGGATGGGTTTTACCAATGTTATATTTTGACCAATAATAAATTTTTAATGCAACAATTCAGTTACACGTAATTTGGATTGTTGCAAAATTTCCGTCTTGCAGATGGCCTTAAAATAAATAAACGATTACCACGATGTGTACAATCTAGTTAAGGTTCTAATAAATTAACTTTCGATTCAGTCTGAAAAAATGGGGGTCATGAAAGTGCATAGTGAACTGGTGAAAGTATAGATATATAAAATATTCTCAGTACCAAACAATACGATTCCCCATATTTAGAATGATGAAGGTCAATGTTTAACTCATTGAATTATGAGAACATTTTGTCATTTTAAAATGACGACGAATCCGAGGAATCGAGGTCCCAAAGTAATGTATAGAAAGTGAAAATATTCTCCAACAGACAGACAAAAAACTAATGTTATTATTCTAGTTTTTAAGTTATTTCCATCTCTTTAGTTTAAATCGAATTCATGACAAACATTTTTTACAACGTTGCGACTTCTTACAAATATTCTACCATTGTTGGACTAAGTATCCTTCTGCCCATATTTGATTTTATCTTTAGCTATTAATAAAAGCTTGTATCTTCATTCACGAATATTCGTGTGCCTTTTTAAAGCTGGTTTTCGACTTATATACCTCGGAAAGTTTAATATTGGAAGCAAAGTTCATAATAAAATAACAGGTCTTGGTGTTGTTTTATCACCAACAATTTTGTCTATTCTAAATAAGGTTCTAAATGTGTTATAAAATATGGGAAAAAACTTCACTGTGCGCGCTCAAGATTAGCACAGTCCGCGATGCGAATAAGGGACCGCGATTGTCTAATCCGTTCCCAACTTTACAGTTTAGTGACCGGCATAAATAGTGATTTTAATTTTCACTTCATTGTTATAGTACGAGCGAGAGATATTGTGTGACGTTAAAGCTTTAAAGCCAGACGGCAACAAAAAAAACTAAGGACTGATACATTAAATATAGTAGAGGAGCATTCAAGAAAATGAGTATACCTATTTTATTTTTACTTCCCTCGACAAAAGGAGAGTATTGTAATCGTGAAAATTTAAATTTTCACGTTTTCGGGTCCCTAAATTACAAAAAACATGTTTTTCCCATTCCGTCGGTCTGTCTGCCGTCCGCCGTTTGTTGTCTATTGACGCGATAGCTCAAAAACGGCTTAAGAGAAAAACTTTAAATTATTAATGCAGGTAAGGCTTCCTCTTGGCTCAAAACCGGTTATACACAGGGTGAGAAAAGTTAGCAGATTTCGACTAAAATTGGTTGCTGATAAAATTGTTACCTGATCAAAGATAACAGGTCATGAATTACTTTTAAAAAATTCAAAATGGCTTTCCTGTTTTTACAATTTGTACAGGTATGCTAATATTGTAGGGTGTAATTCCTCATGTCATTTTATGAAGAAAAGTTTATATGAACAAATGTCCGCAACGGCTACAATTTTTTTTCTACAGTGTGTTGAAAATTTCTTTTTTAAAGAGATGTTTTTTAATATCTCTGAAAATAGTTTTAGATATAATTTTCAATTTTGACTTGTGTTATTAGGATATAAACTACATATTTTAGTTAATTTATTTTATTGCTCTACCAGTGGCGTCTCTGCAAACATTTTTCCATGTTGATTTTTTTACTCATTTCGCTGGTCAATTATACATCAATACGGCAATAATTAAAATTAATCGTTAATACTGCAAAATGAGAAAATTTTAATTTAATTAATGAACGATAAGGTAAACGCCATTGGTGAAGCAATAGAATAACTTTTTCGTCTAAAGTATGTGGTTTTATATCATATTAAAAATACAAAAATAAGGGGGAAATCTCAATATAGTATGTCCATGGTATTCAGTAAAACTATCTATGGCGTATACCTTTTTAAATTGTTTCATCCGTAAAACTTTAAGAAGTTCTTCTTTCTTATAGCTGTCTTGAAATACAAATCATTGTCCATTAGAACATTTTGTATATCCGCTTTCGTTATTGTGTTGAATGTACTCCTAAACAACCTGCGTTTTGACCAACTCGTCGGCAGTTTAATGATTCTTACTCAATGCAGTGCAGGTGGCTGGAAATACAACTGGCAGGAGTAGACTAGGTTTGTGAATAAACTTTTCGAAAATTAACTTAGTTCGTTGTACATTCTTTTCCTAATAAAGAAGAGGTGGTGAAAAAACCATACAACTAAGCACATCCGAAGCTAGACAAATTTTCTTGTATTTACGCCTTATGTTTGGAATTATCTCAAAAGGAATGAAAATGTTACACGTATCTAAATATTACGTTGAATATGAAAAATCAAAACAAGATGTTGATGTTGCTTGAACAGAATTTTCTCGAGATGTTTAAATCCTCTTATTGGGTGATATGAATAAAAATCTGATGTGTCCAACACATGACTTTCCTATCTAGTTATTACAGGCTTCTTCTGGTTATTTTGTACAACCTATACTGCAGCACCTCTGTAAATGTTTAGAGGATAAACTAAATATATACATTTTCCACATACTTCTAACTCGAAACATTTTCGTTGGCAATGAATATATACATACAAAAAATGTTTCGGGTTAGAAGTATGAGGAAAATGTATATATTTAGTTTATTCTCTAAACATTTACAGAGGTGCTGCAATATAGGTTGTACAAAACCGGAAAAAGCATGTAATAACTAGTTAGGGAAGTCATGTGTTGGACATATCAGATTTTTATTCATATCACCCAATAAGAGGATTCAAAGAACTCGAGAAAATACTGTAAACAGAATGTAGCCTTGAAGCAATATCACCTGCGCCATATTGTTACCATCCTAATGTAATTTGTGACATTTACTCATAAGTTTTGTGGTATGTTTTTATTTTTCGGTATTTATTGAGTTTGTTTCATTTTTATATAGTTTTAGTAGAAAGAACTAGAAGACATAATGGTATTTTGAGCTTTACGAGATTTTACTCGCTTAGATTGTGTAGAAATCAAAAAGTTATAGGGAATAACCATTGAGGTATGGGGATAACTTAACATAAGTTAGTGAACAGATCGAGTCGTACTGAAAGAAAAAAATATATTATCTATTAATTATAAATTTCCAAAGAATTCGGGAAAAGTGACTAAATGGATACCGTTTTTACATAGAGATTATTTTGATGACGGACCCAAAGAACTTTCGAGGAAAAACATCTTCATTGTTTGAAAAATAAGTTGGCACAATAATTTACGTGTGAGTAAAGTTAAATTAATATATACAGGGTGTACCAAAATTCCGTGCAAATCAAGCTACTGTATGTTGGTGAGATCAAATTAAGTAGATTGAGAAAAATTACCTATATCACAAAGTGCTTCGTTTGCCTGTGAGGAAGCTTCAAAGTTGAAAGAAAATTTTTAATTTAGTTTTCTTGAAAATTTTAAGTTGCTAACCATCAGTGCATAAAATTTTTTTTTCAATCAAATACCTTGAAAGATACATGTTTTTCGTAAGAGATAAAAAATGCTACATAAAAAAAATTGAGAGAACAGGAGCGGCCCTCAAAAATATACGATGTCATTTATGGTAGGATTAATGAGGTTTTTACCCTTCCATGATTTCAGCTGGTAATTTTTGATCTTCAATTAAAATAGCTACATACCAAATTTTATAAAAATCCAACGAAGCGTTTTGGAGACTTATTTTGATCTCACCAACATACGCAGTAGCTCTATTACAAGAATTATGGGATACCCTGTATTTTCTTATTTATAATTTCAAATAAGGATGATTTCATTCCAAATTTTTTTTTATGATTTTACAATTCCGCTATTTTAATTGTTTTTTTTTATCAAGTAATAAATTGTAAAAGCTTAAGCCTACATTTTAAAACATTCACTTTATTGCAAGATGAATCTACCTATCATTATTTTGTTAATATATTGTTTTTGTTTTATTTAACTACACGGAGTGTTTTAAAAAACATGTGCCATCACTACTGATGTCATTTCTTACCCAAAAATAAGACAAATAGTTCTTATCAACATTGGTCGGCAGACGTTTTGTTTAAAAATACAATGCGTTAATTTTTTTTAGTATTTCCGATACGGCTTTAACGATTAAAATGAAATTTTAGATGTACAATGTACCCAAAAAAGCTATTTCAGCAATAAAAATATGTAAATTTGTTTAACATAAGCGCGGGTGCGAACGGCGATCACTTCAAAAAAATTTAACAAAAAAAAGTATATCACTGACTTTTTCACTTTCACGTACAAATAACTTGAAAACTATTTATTAAAAAGAAATGTTATTATACTTAACTTAATTAAAATTAGGTAAGCAATGAAGCTGTCAATTATTGTCGCTCGCCGAGCGACAAATCTGTCACTTAATGTCAGTTAGCAGAAAACGTCAACTTTAATGTGATTTCGAAGCGCAAAATCCTACTTTGGATAGTGATTGTAGAAGAAATATTTTTAGTTTGTTATTTCATTTCACTTGTTTGTCACTGCAGCCCCGTTAATAATTTTGAAGCCTACATCCCTTGTGGACCATACTTATCATCATATTCACTGCGGTTGCCTGGTCGTAGAATAGGCAATTCAGCACACAGCTGTGTCGTATAAGGCGAAATAAGTGTTTTTACTTTACTTTCTTGCTGCCTAGTATCTAGGAAGTAATTTGTCTTTATTATAACTTTTCTTAAACACAGTTAATCGGCACCCTAACAGGGCTGAAGGAGGCTTACCGAATGCCGGACTCGTCCCGATATACAGGTGCATGTTTAGCATAGAGGTAGTGTATGTGCGCCCAGCCGAATGTCGGTAGCCCACTACAATGTAGCCGCGTTCATATATCTATATATAGTTCGGTCCGTAAAGATGCCTCCTATGCCCGGCTAGCCAAATATTCACCGCGTTCGGCTTGTAAGGATGCCTCTTATGTCTGGAAAGCCAAATATGGACCACATGCGGTTTCTACTTCTAAATTACGTTAAAGAGCACGGTCCTCCCAGCTCAGAAGCAATCCCGACAACGTTGTGGTTTACTTGGTTTCAGTCTGTCTACGTCATATGTCTGCTGGCAAATATCAAAATTAGGTACGCCTGTTATTTCTAGTCCATAAATACATGAGATTGTCCGGTTCCGTCAGTAATAATTTAAAATTACTTATTCTATATGAAACGACACTGGAGATAAACATTACCGCGAATTTCTCGAAGTCCTCCGACGTTGACGTTTACCCCTTCTCTGCCCACCAAAAGCCTTTCCAACTTCTGCCCCTGCAATATATCCAATTTAATATAATATTATTGCCGTGAGCCACCCTAAGCCGAATCTAATCACCTTCGCCGTCACAGCTGTCGCTTCGACTGTTTCGACACCGCAGAACAGAGACGCCTTCGAGAAGCTACCAGAGAAAGTGTTACGCGGCGGCTGAGTCATAGATGATGAAATTCCGGAGATTCTAGACGGTCGAGAATGTTCTAGTGCAGAGCTGGCTTTATATAAATAGCGCAATTTTGTCGATAGAAGTTTAAGTTTCAATAAAAAGTGTTGGATATAAAAGACAAATTGTAATAAATAAATTTGAATTGTGAGTTATATAGTGCCTAAGTATTAAATAAATTAATAAGTACGTTATAAATAAATAATAAATAAACTGTTTTTATTAAATAAACCATTTTTAAATTAAATAATCGTCACATTATTACTCATGTTATACCTCTTAAAAGGTTTAAGTCGGTTCGGTGCCCTTACCGTCCCCAAATGTTTTTAATGTAGCTGTTGTTGTTATCAACTTATTGTATTGATCGATTGATTCAATGTGGAACTATATATATATATTATATATATAGAAATAAAACAATAAAAAATCTAGTTTGCTAGTGTCAACTTCATTGACTTCTATTTTTTTTTATTGATTCTAAAATTGAAACACCGTGCATCTTTGAAACAAAGCATCTGTGGACCCATGTTGATAAGAACTATTTATTTTATATATTTCGGTAAGGAATCACCCCCACGAGCGATGTCACATCTCTTTTGAAACCCCTGTATACTTATATGAAAATAATTTTATAAGTATTATACTATATTATCACTTATGATCTATGACTTATTTAATACATGTTTGTAAATGTGTTGAGAATAATAAACAGTTTATAAATTTAGCATTCATGCTTTATGACTTTTCCAATATATTTTTGTAAATGTCTTAAAGAAAATAAACACTTTTAAATTTTAGTTATTTTATTTTTATTTAAGGAAGTATCTATTACAATAATATATTTTTTTAATTAGGTATATTTATTTTATTAATTTTTTATTTGAAAAATAAGTTTTAAATGTTATCTCTAATTGTGGATTTCCTAACTGCTTATATAAATATCTTCAAATTAGAAAACTCCAGATAAATATTAACACACATTTTCTTTTGTGATTCAATATGTATTTGATACTTATCACATAGGTATTCATTGAATTATAAATATTAAAATTACTGCGACAACTCAAAAAAATTCTGAGTCCGGACCTACATAATATATAAAGTTAACTATTGGCCCTCAATAGTAAAGGCCAGCCGAAAATATTTTAGAAAAAGAAGTACAATTAACATTGACAGTTTTGACAGTAATGAAAGTACAGTGACGTACTGGTGACGTTATAGAATTGATTTATTTTTTTTGACAAACAAAAAAATTGTTGGTGTATTGTTGCAATTCAAAACTCTCGTACCCGGTATTATGTACGTATTGTCGTATTATCTTGTACTACAAGTAAAATTGTATAATTATAAAGCAATTTAATTATCACAGGTTTGTATATTTAATATGATCTTGCCTACTGTTGTTTGTTTTTAGGTGAATCATAATAATTGTTTTTAATTACGCAAACAAGTAAAAAAGTACATACTGATATTATCGATTATCTAAAAAGAATACAAAATTCTTCAAAATGGAAGCAGCCCCAAAACTACCTATGATTTCATTTGATTTAAAGACATGTACAGAGAATGTCCATTTTGGGCTACAATTGAAGAAGGTAAATATATTTTCTAGTATCTGCAGTTTGTTCTACTTGTTTTACTGTAAACAGTCTTAAAAGAATTGATATGTTTACAACTGTGGTGCTATTATAGCTTTTATTTTTATATAGAATATAAATACAAAAGTACTGTCTGTACAATTTGTTATCTAAATAGGTACTTATTCACCATGGGTGACAAGGCTAGTTTAACTTGATTAATAAAAAAATAAAATGTTTCGGAATAAACAAAACATCCAAATAATATTGAGCTAATATATTATAAAAATATAACCTTGTTAGTCATTAATAAGTAAGGTTAAATGAGCCGTTTATTTTAAAAGTGGCCTAAGTCCATTTATAGTTAAATTAAGATATTCATTATCGATAATGTTCGAAGGCATTGATGAAAGTAATTTGAATTAATTAGTTTTTAACAAGTTAACCTCAATTTTTGGGCAATTGCATTAGTTGAATAATCAGTAAGTTTAATTAATGGAGTTAAACAAAATTTACACAAACCCTTAGATATCACAATTTAAGTATAAATGGAGTTAGTCCACTTTGAAAATAAATGCCTCAACTATAATTATAAGTAGCAAATGGCCTATGTTGCCCATTATTAATTCAGAAGGTAAAAAGTTGATGTAATTAAAAACAATTTTGGTAATCCATTAACAGACAAATAAGAAATAACTAATTAATTCAATAACAGTTTTGCTAAAATGGACAAAAAGCTTGCAAAAATCAAAATTCATAAAAATTTTACATTGATGAAGACTTTCCGAATTCTTTTTTTTTGTACCAGTTGAAATCCATGAAGTTGAAGTGATAATTAACAAACTCAAATATCATGATGACAATGGTAATATCAAAGCTGAAACTCTTAAATCGATATTCTTCATACAACACTTTAACCTATAGCCTAATCAGCAAGTAGTTACTTTCAACTTTACTCAGAGCTTAAAAAACTGATCCTTACTGTTTAGGACTCCAAGAATATTGTCTCAGTATTGAACTATGTTAAAATTTTAATTATCAGACTATTGTAGCCATTAAAAAAATCAGTTAAAAAAACTAACTTAAGGTCATGGCACTACTTATGGCCACTTCTTTCTAAAAATAAACTTTTAGCAACAAGGAGGTAAATGAGCATGTGGTAACATGATTGTGCAGGTTTGCACCTAATAAACCAAGTCCATTAGAAATCAGTAAAATAGATAGCATGTGTAATACATGAAAGCATTACTGTTGTTTTTGCTAAGAATTTGTAAACATTGGAACAAAAATCATATTTATTAAGGACATTTTTTAAAATTTGCTATTCTAGAGGTAAGTAGATGTTAATACCAATGTATTTTGTTTTCAACATATATTTTTTTTAAATAAAAATAAATACCAGGCTAACCATTAGTAATGACTAAAAATTAAGAAATCATAAGTTATGGTCCCATGGGTGGCCAACAGTAAAATCTCATATTTTACTTATGGCCACTGTAGTTATTGTGTGGGTTGAGGGGTAGGTAGCAATTAAGTTTTTTTAGCTAAGAAGATGAAATGTCACTGGCATCTGACAGCAGTGGCAGTTTCTCATATATAGAACCAGCAGTGATTATACTATATTATCACTTATGATCTATAATATAATACATGTTTGTAAATGTGTTAAGAATAATAAACAGTTTATAAATTTAGCATTCATGCTTTATGACTTTTCCAATATATTTTTGTAAATGTCTAAAGAAAATAAACACTTTTTAAATTTTACATTAAAACTGGGCAACTTTATATTGGTACAATTTAGTGCTTCAAAAGCACAAACAAAGAAAAAACTACTTTCAAATTTATTGCCCTCCTAAGCCAAAAAGCGGTATCTCAGTTGAAGCGAATTTTAAGAAAATATGCATTTTCTAAAAGTTGTCTTCATGTTACCTCAAGTTGAAAAAAAAATTATTTAGGTACTGCTGGATTACTTTAAATCATTATTTCTTGTTTTTGAATATTAATTTTGAAATTCTTGGGTCATAAATGGATATGCAGTCATTTAGCTTAGTAATAATGGCATATGCTTAAGCCTTTTAGTAAATACAAGTGAAGTGGAAAAATTTTTTTTTTTAGAGGTACCGCTTTTTGGCTTAGGAGGGCAGTATATTGAAAATTAGATTTTTACTGTTCCCATATCTGATGTTTTAGGACTGTAAACTGAACATTCTCTAGTAGGACAAGGTTGAAAATTGGTCATAACATTTTCAGGAGGCATTAATGTTCATGAAAAATAAATCTCATATTTTATCAAAATTTTTAGTTTTTTGTACCCTATTATAAATCATTAGTAAGTAAATACATGTAAATTAAAATATAAACATGCACTTAAATTAATATTTATAAATGCAACTTAAAAATTATTGGCCAAAAGTAAAGAATTTCTTCCACTTTTATAAAAAAAATGTAAAAAAGAATTACATGATTTAAACAAAATAGACACATATACTGTTGAAAACTACATACTTCAACCTATCAAATGGTATTTTTATTTATTTTTTCTGTTACAATATTATTGAAAATAGACTCCACAAAAGCATGTTTGCCTTAAGGTGGCCATAAGTAAGTAGTGCCATGACTCTATAACCTTTAAATTTAAATCTCTAATAATAATTGAATATAAAGAAGCTGTGTTTATTACAGCTTCAATGATCTTTCATATTTATTCTATATTTTGTTCTACTTATTATTATTAATATTATCATTACTTCAATCAAATTTTGCTTTAGTATATTGCAGCATTTTATGGAGAAGACCCAGACTCTTATATTACTGAAATAAATAACCTTGAAGCTTTAAGAGCAGCAGCAGTACGACCAACATTGGATGTAAATGGTGTACAATTACTGAAAAAATATTACTGTCAATTGCATTTTTTAAAATCCAGGTTTCCTATGGAAGAGAATCAGGATGCTTCTGTACAATTTTCTTGGTAATTTTTGTTTATCAAATGTCATTTATGATTTATATTAATTCAAATTGCCTAATATTTTTTCATGTTTTAGGAGAAATAATCAACTGGATTTAAACGGTGCTTCTACTGATGTAAGATATGAATTGATGGTAATAATGTATAACATTGGTGCCTTACATTCATATTTAGGCGCTAGTGATTTACGCAGTAGTCCAGATGGTATGAAAATGTCTTGTACTCATTTTCAATGTGCAGCTTGGGCATTCCAGGTAGGCATACCAAAATTTTAATCTTTTTTAATAAATATTCAATAATCACTCATGTAAATTTCATAAAATTTTCAGACTGTCAAAGAAAAATATCACCAATTTATAATTTATGTCTCATTAGTGGAACTTGTTCATTTTTTTCAACAAGTCTCTTTGGCTCAGGCACAGGAATGTATTCTCGAAAAGAGTATGTTCGACAATAGAAAACCCACAATTATTGGTAAGTTTCAAATAATTTTAAGTAAAATTTTAAAGTTAACTTTAACTCCCTTGGCCATCAAAATGTCATTTAAACGTAAAAAATGTCACTTAAACGTCTAATGTAATTTAAGGTCCAAAACTTGCTGTTCCTCTTTTTCATTATCATCCTCATGTTGGGTGCCACTTGGTTTGTATCAATGTATAGATACTTTATTGAAGTAGGATAAACCTAATATACAAAAAAATAATATAAAAAATGCAAATACCGTAGTTATACACTTAAAACACAAAGATAATTAAATTTTGTTACACATTAAAAAGATACTTTCAATCTTGAGTTTAGACAGCGTTAATTGACAATAAAACAAATAACAGTTAAAAGCATAAACACAAATGTTAAAAAAAGGAAGAGTAAAAAGTTAAAATTAAATTTTTTAAATTTTAATAAAAGTACTTTTTTTGGTGTCATCAGCATCAACTACTAAGGTTATTAGCCTTGTGTTCTGTGTAGGCGTTGTTACTGTTTTCCAGCGCCACTTTAGGAACAGCACTGTTAATTAGAACCCAACAGTGAATAGTTGAGTGGAGAATCCTACCAAGGCATCAGAATTAATTTTAAATAATTAAATTAAAAAAATCCTGGCCAACGGTGGGATTTGAACCTGGGACACTTGGATCCGCAGGCAGAGACTCACCACTGAGCCACCCACCCCTTAATAAAAGTACTTAATTGTTTTTTTAAACTTGCTAATGAATTACAATCTTTCAAAACCCTAGGTAGTTCATTGTATTCTTGGAAACCTTTATACAATAAAGATGCCTTTGATTTAGAATAATTCACTTTTTTAATGTATATATCATTAGTTGATCATGTGCTGTAATCATGAATATCTCCTTGATAACAAATAATAATAACAGGGCTTTATTCATCACTTAAAAAGGAAAATTAACAATAATTTATGCAAGGAAAAACATATTTAACCTAAATTGAAGAAAATAGGGTGGAGTAAATAAACATAAATGTCAAGTAGTAGAACCTTTGCTGGACCAAAAACCATTGAAGAGAATTTAACATTGTGACAGTTGGTGTAAGAGGATACATCAGAATTTACATTTAAAGAATGAAAAACTAGAATTGGTATGGTTGAGTAAAATGTTTTTGTTCTATGAACACTTAGGAAAGTCACAAGTAACATACCATTTAGTCTTATGGGAAGTGCCCTATTTCACACCAGTGTAGATAAGAATATACTCCACCCGTGCATCTGCTGTCAAATATGTCAGACGCATCATTTCTATTTTAACTTATGCAATGTTTTATATTAATGGCAAAATCGATCCTACATATTTACATTTATCGATTATTAAAATAGTTTAAAAGTAAATTATTTTTTTATTATCAAAATAACACAAAATAAATATAACATTATTTTTAATTTTTTTTTCTAATTAATACACATTTGATTAGATTATTCATTTGACATGACTTAATGGTCCAGAGCTTAAGTGTTTGACCTTATCACCTTTAAATTTCGAAAAATATGAAACTAAAAAATTTTAATTTACTTTATTTATCATAATATTACCCCTAGAGTTAGGCAACTCGTTAATATTTCCGCTAGTTATTTTGTACTATCTTGATAACTTCAGAAAAACATTGTAAATAGGTATAATCTTTAATAGTAAAAAAGTTTTTGTTCGTAGTTGTTTATCTTATTTGTTGTATAAAAAAAAAACTAATGAAAAATATTGGATCCTAATATTTTTTTGTGCCTATTGTTATTATACATTTATCATCCTATGAAAGTGTAAATGAAATCACAATGTTTGTAAAAAATTGTTGCTTTCCACATGTATAATGTAATATACTATTTTTTTTAACATGGAAAAGTTTGTTTAGGTCGAATATTTAATTTTTTTCTTTATTACAGCTAAAGTAGCTGTTCAAGTTTACAGCTATTATAGACAATCTCTAAGCATCTTAGAATCTGTCAATGAAGACTATTTCAGGGATAAAGTTTACAAGGATTGGACTAAATTTCTACAATTCAAGATTGCATACTATAAGTGTATATCTTTATTATTTCATGGACAACAGGCAGAAGAACAACAGAAGATGGGAGAAAGAGTTGCATATTATCAAGCTGCTTGTGAACAGCTTGAAGAAGCCAAAAAATATGTGGCATCTTTAAAAAACCAAAATCAGCAGGTACAAACTTTTTTTTGTCGTAGTCAATATTTCACAGGTTATGGATTTGCTGATATTAGTATTCTTTTATTTTTATTTGTTTTTAGCAAGAAGTAGCTGAGGCATTAGCTTTCACTACAGATGTTGTCGAAGGTAAAAGAAAAGCAGCTAAAAATGAGAATGAATTTATATATCACGAATCAGTTCCTGACAAAGATCAATTGCAAGAAGTTAAAGGGGCTTCTTTAGTTAAAGGAATTCCATTTAGCATTAATGATGTAGAGGTTTGATGAATACATTTTATTAATATTATTTATAAACCTTTAATTTTACTTTTTTAAAACGGTTTTTTATTAGGTTTCAGGTCCTGACATCTTTTCTAGACTGGTACCAATGGAGGCACATGAAGCTGCTTCTTTATATAGTGAAAAGAAAGCGCAGATGTTACGTCAAATAGGGGAGTTAATAGAAAACAAAGATCAATCGCTGGCTGAATTCATGTCTTCTATGCAACTGGATTTATTAACAAAAGTATGTTAACTATTTATCCCATTTATATTAAAATTAATTATAATTTTTACCAGGGGCCCAATTCTTGAACTCATTTTCTCTTAATTTTGTAGTATTGAGTATTCTTGAAATATTTCATTGGAAAATGCCTTAAAATTATGAGAATTATTTCCTAACATCAAGAAATAAGTTATTTTTTCTTAATGCATATAAAGGCGCATACCAGTATTTCACATTACCAATGACATATTAGTAAAATTTTATTTGTTTATCCCGATTTAAAACGCTCTGAATCTTAAACAAATAACTTATTTTAGATGCATCAGGCTACAGGAATACCTCAAGATCTCATCGATAGAGCAGCTGCTCTGGCCGCCAAACCAAATGCAGTACAAGATCTTATAAATTCAATGGGAAAACTATCGAATATCTACCAGGACGTTGAAGCCAATTTAAAAGAAATTGATGCTTTATTAAAAGTAAGTAATATAGCCTGTTACACTTTAAGATTTTACTGAATTGTGCTGATTTTTGCTATTTAAACAAGCAATAGATTTAAGATGAACGAATTACAATGTACTTTTAATTTAAAATTATAGGCAGACGAAGAGGCTGAGAAAATTTACCAAGAAAAGATTGGAAAAAGACCTCCCAGTATACTAGCTACTGATTTAACAAGGGAAGCAGCTAAATACAGGGAAGCCCACTCTAAAGCAAATGACTCAAACCAGACATTACACAGAGCAATGACTGCTCATGTAGCCAATTTAAAAATACTTCAGCGTCCTTTGAAGGAGCTTCAGCTTAATCTTCCGTTTGTCGAGCTACCAAGTGGTAAGTTTTTGATACATTTTATCCATTTTTTTATTTTTTTAAATAAATAGTTTTACATTTATATGAAGTATGAAATAAATAATATATGGATTTCTTAGTAGATTTATTTAATCAATATAAAAATATATTTATTTTAGGTATAATTGCAAAACAAATTGAAATTAATATGATAAAGATACTGATATGGAAATTGACTGTAAATTGTCAATCAAATAGCCTTAAGAAACTTTCTTCTGTGTCTAAAATATACAAAAAAATAGTTTATTAAGAATAATGAACAATGTCATTTTCTTGTCTTGCTTCTGCGATGTTTATTTATTTTTTAACAATTTATTATTTATAATTTATTTACACTAACTACTAATTAATTAATTTATACTCAAATACCTATTTTCTATCAGCACTATTTCTATATCACACTTATAATCTAATTTATCTAACAGTTTGGCTTTAAGAGTAAAACTAATACTGTAGATGCCATATTAATTGTCTAGAGAGAATCTACAATAATATTAATATAGGAGAGAAGGTGGCAGGGATATTCTGTGATCTAACTAAAGCATTCGATTGTGTAAATCACGGAGTATTGCTGCAAAAACTTTCCTATTATGAAGTCAGAGATGGAGCTCTGAAGTGGATTGAATCATATCTTGAAGGAAGGAATCAACTAGTCACTCTTCCAGTATAATGAATGTAACCTGGGGTGTACCCCAAGGGTCCCTACCTTTTCCTAATCTACATTAATGATTTATCACTCCTTGACATTTCTGGAAACTTCAGTTCTTTTGCAGACGACGCTACTGTCTTATGGCATTGCAAGGATGTAGATACTCTACACAATATTGTTGCATCCGATATCCAGAAAATTAAATTATGGTGTGATTCAAATTTTCTTAGTCTAAATCTCTCCAAATCTAAATTGTTAACCTTTGAATGTTTACTCCCAGAGCTACATTTAGGAAGCGATTTACTACAAGTAGATAGAATTAAATTTCGTGGGCTGAAATTTAAGAACCATATTGAAATTTTTGCTCTCAGATCTACATGCAAAGAGCTAGGATTCACTTCAGCAAGGAATGTTTATTTTGCACTGATAGAATCTAATCTAAGATATGGAATTCAGTTTTGGGGCTCCTGCAGCAAAGAGCTCTTCCATAGTGTATTTTTACTTCAAAATCGTGCTGTACGTTATCTGTGTCACGTACAAAGCCTTTGTTCTTGCAAACCACTTTTCCTTAAACACAAAATATTAACTTTAACTTCTTTATATCTGCTAGAGACCATTTGCTTAATAGGTATATAAGAAGAGATCTGCTTACAACAACAATCGTACAGTGCAACCAATTTATACCTGCTTACTCCTAAATCTACCCTAGTTAGGGACTCGCTTATCTATAATGGCATCAAAATATATAAAAAAAATTCCCCATTGCCATAAAAAATGAAAGTTGTTCTAAATCTTTTAGGAAATAACTTCAGGAACGACTAGCTTGCAAAGCATACTATGACTTAACATAATATTTTAACGACGACTCACCTTGATAATTCCTCTCTCTTTCTCTCTCTCTCTCTCTCTCTCTCTCTCTCTCTTTTTTCTCTAATAATTCGAATGTCTATCTTCAACTTCTGTCTAAAAACTTTTCCTCTGACAATGCAACAACTTATTTATATAGCTTGAGACTTGTTTGAGAGCGTCCAGACCAATCAATCTTCAATTCGACCAAGTACCTTCATTGCTGCAGTCCATCTAGTAATTTCGTGTAGAGGGAGGACTGGACTGGTCATTGAGAATGGTTTTCTCATGATGACACTCCTTTTCTCTCTGTGCTCTGCATATCTGCTTTTTTTTATTCCTGTTTCTCTTTCTTGGTCTTCTACTTTCCTGTTTGATTTTAATATGATTTTTAAAAAAACATTTTTAATGTTTACACCTTCCTAAGTATATCGAAGTACTTCTAGTTTATTTTAAGAATTCGTTATTTTTGCAACCTGACTTTTTTTATCATGTGTTGTATTTTTATGAATTACCTATGAAGTCTAGTTTTTTCTATGATTTCTAGCGAATATTGATGAAAAAGCGTTAAAAGACCTAGAAAGTCTAGTAGCTAAAGTAGAAGAGATGCGAAATCAAAGAGCTATGCTGTGGGCTCAATTAAGAGAAGCCGTTCATAATGATGATATTACTAGTTCTTTGGTGACTAAGCAACCTAATCAGTCATTGGAACAATTATTTCAACAAGAACTTCAAAAACATCAACAAATAGTAAGTCCATAAAAAGAAATGCTTTTATTTCAATTATTTTTATTAAATTTGAGACATTGTATTACATTTTATGTTGAGCTTGTTTAAGGACGGGATATTCTGGTTAATAATCTACGTCAAATATGGAATTACCCAGAATATGAAATTCAATCAAAAAGAAAATCACAACACGGGTGGGTTCAAACCTATAAAATCAATTGAATTTTGAAACACATAATTTAATAATAAAAAAATCAATTTATAAAAAAAATATGACTCTTTCTTCTACACTGGCTGCCATTCTGCTCTGGCGCTTGAGTTTCTAATAAAAAGATAACAACTTATGCACATTTAGATTCATTTCCTACAATTAAATAAGTTTTTAAATACAATTCTAGAGGCTGACAATCTAATAAATAAAATAATGTCAACTTGTAAATCTAAATGTAAACTATATTATTATTAAACTATTATTAGTAACTAAGGTACGAGCGGCTCCTAACACATATTAAAGGGCCATCCCCAATGTTTCTACTCTTAATATGTTTCTTAAATACATTTTCCTCTTTCGGATTTTGTTTCACCTTGTTAAAATAAAAAATATCTTTCAGATAACTTTAATAGAACAAAATACAGCTGCCCAAGAAAACATAAAGAAAGCTTTAGTAGATGCCTATGCTCAAGCAGTTAATACCAGACGATATATTCAAGATATTTTACAAAGAAGGACCTCGACTATCTCATCATTAATGGCCTCTAGTGATTCTTATGATGACTTGCTTTCTAAAGCCAATAAAGGAATTGAATTCTATACTAAACTCGAAACAAATGTTTCAAAATTGTTGCAGCGAATTAAAAGCACATTTAAGGTCCAACAAGAAGAAAGGGAACAAGTGTTGGGTACTGCAGAATTTCCAGTTGCTCCTAAAACTGATGATACCTCAGGGGTGGTTGCTCCAAAACTAAAAGATTATTTAGAATCACGAAAAAGGAATCCAGTAACAAGTAACTATCCCGATCCGAATATTCAATATCCACAGCCAGCAGCGAGTTATGGAGTAAATATGGAATATCCACCGGGTATTAGACCAACGCCAGTTGGTTCTGAGTTTACTACAGATTTGCCCAAAACTCTTCCTAGAGACGCCCAAAACTATATGCAATACAACTACAATTATCAACAGCCTTCGAATACCAGCAGTCATTTCTCTGAAGAGGATAACTTTAAGAAAATGAAATCTCTGCACACCAATCCCAAAGACATACATACTCAAAATTATCCCCAATACTCCTTTAATAACTATGTACCTCAAAATTATAGTTCAACCAATTATAGTCAGGCTAATGAAACTTTCTCCAGTGGAAGTCAGTCCGAATTAAACTCTCCTTATGATTCTTCTAAAGCCTTTACTACCACAACAAATTCTTACCGATCTTTACAAACTTCTGCTACAGCAGGCTTTGTACAATACCCGGATGGTAATTTAAACAGTACCGCAGCAATGGGAGTTGCGGGGAACTACCAGTATCAGAATATTCCTCACTCAGCTCCTCCTGGCATGGATCGTAATGTTAATGTTTATTATCCACATGGTTATGCTCCCAACCAAGGTATGTCGAATAATTCCGATGGTCAACATGTGAGTGGCGACGTGAAATATCACTCTGTAGAGTATGCTACTTCTGTCCAACCCAATATCACGACTTACAATCAGAACGCTATTTATTCCTCTCCTATTTCTAATATGTCCAGCACTAATTCCATGGAACCGAATAACAAGGTTACAAATGATTATTATTATCCCATGGCGTCCATCAGTGCTAATTCCAGTATCGCAAGTTTGCCAGGATCCGGCCAAATGTATAACAGTCAAGGTATTTCTTCATGTTCTTCAACTTCAAGTTACTATTCCGCAAATTCTTTTGCAGTTGCTGGTCAGCCCTATCCTGCCACAAGTGAAATACAACAATATTCACAGGTTAGTGTGTTACAATAAAAACTAGAGAACAGGATATTCTAATAAAGTTTTTACTAAATAAATAGAGTCATAATTGTGGATATTTAGAGGTTAGTGTAGTTATATAGAACCTAATAGTAAATATTTATCAGGCGCGGCTTCTCCATAAGATCATTTGGTCAGTGACCCTCCTAATTTATTTCAAACAATTTTATTAATAAACTATTATTTAAAATTAACAGTTCATTCCTATCTGCTGTGCGCTTGGCTCAGCTTGGCCGTATTTTAAATTGACCTTATGGGTTATATTTATAAGACAATCCACATATTGCAAATAGACAGAGATATAACAGCATACGAACCCGCTCTTTAATTGACCTTATAGGTTATATTTATAAGACAATCCACATATTGCAAATAGACAGAGATATAACAGCATACGAACCCGCTCTGAAGTTGAAAAGAGACAAATAATTGTCGATGGCCGGCCACTGAAAATCCAAATGATAATTCACGTGTTCGAAAGCGACTACGCCTACGCAGCATCAGCACAATAGTTCTGTGAAAATAAAATCCCAAACAAACAGCCACATTTTTAATTATTTCGTCTCGTGTTTCGATGTATGAATATTTAGAATGTTCTCTTTTTAACTATCCAATGGATATCTCAAGGAATATCTTTCATTTGCTCTCTTTAAGAGTAAAAAAAATAGTTTGTGTGTAACACTCCAAAAAACTTTCCAGTGTGGGCCAGGGGCGGCTTTGCCTCCGGCACTATCCACCACAATTTGACCCACCTGTACAATAACTCACGAGCCGCGCCTAACATTTACTAATTTAGTTAAAAGTAATAGAACTAATAGATAGGATATTGCTTATTTTGAAACTACAAGTGAATACAAAAATGGCGTATTACCTTTCTCTTCAAAACAAACTTAAATTTACTAAAATCGAATAAGTAGTTTAGAAATTATAGCAATTTAAATGATTACACTCTCAGTAGCTCTCTTATCAAGATCGGTACGTCAATAAGCCTTAGACCAAAATAATGCAGAAATGTCGTAAGCTTTCTAATGATGTTACCAAAGGCATACTTTGGAATTTTCGGAGAAATTTAGATTTTTAATATTTAATTCTCAATTGTGCCCCCTTGAAATGTGGAACTTAAAAATAATTTACGGGATTTTTCTAGTGTCACTTTTATCATGAACTGTTTTCCCTAAATTTCTATGCCCAGTAGTTTCCGAGATATGGCTGGTGTCCAACCTTAATGAAACATCCTGTACATGGTGGTATTTTGAGGACACATGAATTTATTAATTTTTGTTAATTTGGACCTGAATTTTTCTTGTGATCCTAGAAATCATTGAGCAAAATTAGTACTACAAGAGCCATTGAATATATAATATTTACACAAAATACCCTGTATAATAATAATAATATCTTTTTTTTCTTTAGGTTAACCAATATGGCAATGCTCATGGTAGTGGTACATATCACCCTAACCAAACTGTCCCTGCAAATGCAGGTCAAGTTAATTCAACATACCTTCAAAATCAAAGTGCCCCTACCAATGTAAGTCAAGCTAATTCTACATATATTGTTAGCCAAAATATATCGAATCTTGGTTCAACCACTACTGCTTATTATGCTCCTACAACTGTAGCACAAGTCAGCTCTACATACCTCCCCAACCAATCTTATAATCAGTATTACACAGGCTTAAATTCTAGTTTACCTACGCAAAATTTGCAATCTGGGACTCAACCTACAAATTACGGATATCAAGCGTCTTATGGCATTCCATATTCCTCTTCAAATCAGTCCATTTATAATTATAATACAACTGTTTCTACAGCTACTCAATCCCAAAATCCTCAATCCCAACATCCTCAATCCCAACCAACGAAAGAATCCAATATTGATCTGTTGAGTGGTTTAGATTTCAATATCAGTCAAGCTCCTCTTGTACCACAACAAAATATCAAACCCCAACCAAAAGAAAGTGACGTCAAACCTGTTAATTCAGAGGCTAAAATGGTCGCTGTGAAACCATCAACCAATCAAGAACAAAATACTGACTCAAAACGTATTAATATTAAGATCCTTCCTAGCAAGCCTTTAAACAACGCAGATGTTAAAAATTTATTTAGCCAGGAATTGGAAAAGTATGAAAAGTTCGTGGAAACTTTAACCAATAAGACTTTGAGCGGACCAACTAATTTAGATATTAAGTGGAAAGAGATACAAGACCAGCAAGACTGTGATGGACAGAAAAAGATTATTTCTGTGGCCAGATGCTATCCTATGAAAAATAGGTATCCCGATATTTTGCCTTATGATTCTTCTAGAGTGGAACTATGTGATAGTAAGGACGATTATATTAATGCTTCATATATTAAGGTAAGGTTTTTTTGTAAAGTACCATGTGTTTTTCTTATGCAAAATGTCACAAATATGTCCATGAGTTCACTTAAATCCTATGTCTAGTTTTTAAGGTTTAAAGTTAAAAATTCAAATTTTTGTAATCTAATAACTTAATAAAAGACGAATTAACTTATATATAAATCGTTTATTTAGTCAAAAAACTTTTTTACATGTCAATACATCTTCACATTTTAAATATAAAAAATACATAAGTATAGAATCAACATACACTCAAAATACAATAAAATACATAAGATGCAGTACACTTACATGTCAACTATACAAAACATAATAAAAGAACAAGAAAAAAAAACGTCAATTGGTCAGCAAGTACTCACGCAGTTTTCTTTTAAATATTGCTGTTATATTGTGTTCATGAATATCCTGATTATAACTTAAAATATTTTGCAAATATACTGAGGAGATTCCTGATTTAATCTTAAATATAAATAGCAGGGAATAGAATAGCAAATATTTTTTAACAGGCAACCACTGAAGAACATTTAACGTGGAATTGATTGTTTCCAATTTCGAATAGCTTAGTATTATCCGCATACCTCTATTCTGCAACTTTTGCAATCATTGCAACTTATTCTGGTTGAGCAAATACAATATAGTGGCATACTAATTAAAATTAGGTAATATTAGAGTATTATAAATTATTAGAAATTTGGGCGTAAATGATTTTTCTTGAAAAATCGATTTTTCTCACGTTCATGTATTAAACAGTTACGGCCATTTGAATTAACACGGCAGTATTAATAGTCTCAAATGCCCTCTAAATCTAAAAACACCGCCAGTGTAACCAAATTATTTTCAATTGATAACTTCCAGTCATGCAAGCAGTTTCACAATTGTGTTTACTACAGAATCCTGATTGCACATTACTTATCAAACTGTTCCACTCGAAATAATCAATAATTTGAAGATATATTACTTTTTCTATTAGTTTTCCAACAGCACTGATCAAATTTATCGGTCTTAAATGGGTAGCCTTACTTGGATTCGAAATTTTTGGTATCGGAATTATTGTAGCAATCTTAATATCGTCTGGAACTAAGCTTGTTTCCATAGAAAAATTTATAATATGTAATAGAGGTTGGGATAAACTCTCAAAACATTCTTTTAATAAAATTGTGGATATTTTGACTGGACTATTTTTATTTGACATTGAAAATAATATTTCTTTTAATTCATTATAATTAATTAGTTTGAAATTTACAAAAGTTTCAATTTCACTTAGATGAGGTATAACCGGATAATTATTAATGGAAGGTAACTGCCCAGAGTAAAATCCTGACGATTGTCAGAAATATTGTAAGAATACAACATATGTTTCGGAAAATCAATTGTTTCCATCTTCTGGTAGTAATATTTTTTTTTGTTAAGAAACATCGATGGACATAACAGTTTAAAATTTTTAAACATGGAACCACCATCTTTTTGTTTCACGTAGTGAAGGTGTATTCGATTTATTTAATAAAATATATCCAAAATTTATAACATTTTGCATAAGAAAAGCGCGGGGTTATTTTATTTTCAATTTTTAAATCAGAGAAGATACGAAAAAAAAAATGGCCAAAATATTACAAGTTTATAAATAAAATTATCTTTATCTTGTTCCAAATAAATTCAATGATGGGTAGTTTCAAATTATCATTGTAGAAACCTGGAAGGTATATTTATGACTCTATTCATTTACAGGATGTATCACCATATGCGCCTCCGTTTATTGTAACACAAACTCCACTACCCTCTACGATTGGTGATTTTTGGACAATGGTAAGGGAACAGCAAGTTGAATTGATCCTTTGTCTACAAAACGATAATGAGGTAGGTTCAGATATAAATTATAGATATTATGTATTTGTAATGAATGAAAAGTGAAGTGAGAAAAATCGATTGAAATCCAAAAACTAAATGCAATTTTGGAAATTATGAAAATAAAAGGCATCCTCAGTTCCCCCTACGAAATTATGAAAATTATGCCATCATAACCCCATTAAAATGAAACTGAAAATAATTCAGTACGATTTAATAATTTTGTGTTTACTTATAGTCGTTATTTTAATGCTATGTATAGTTAATATTATTCGCTTTGTATATGATGGCAAATTATGATTTTAACATTTTTTTTGTTTTTTTTTTAATTGTTTCGTTTTTTATGATTGGATTCCACAGTATACAACAAATTTTGATTGATTTATGACGTTAATAAACCTTTTTCAAAACAAGTACTTTATTGGAAAAGATGTTGACAGAATTAGTGAGACTTTTGTAGTTTAGATTTGATAATTACTCGAAGTCGTTTGTACCGTTTATCTTTATTATATTTGTTATTTTTCAATCGTTATTAATATACAGTTCACTTAGACTAAACCAATTTATTTGTTTCTAGATTGGTGATGAAATTTATTGGCCAAGGGAAAAAGGCCAATCTATAAATGTCCTAAACATGGTTATTACTTTGCAAAGCGTCATAACAAAATCTCACTGGGTTGAAAGACTGATAGCTGTCAACTTGCCAGAAAAGCGAGAGTCCCGTGTGATAATGCATTTACAATTTACTTCTTGGCCCGGCAGGTAAGAAAACAAACGGAAATGCATAGTATTTCTTATTATAAATTTTTTATTCTTTATTCTATTTTAGCTTATTTCCTACAAGTTCGGATCCGTTTATCAGTTACACATTAGAATCCATTAGTATGTACCAACAACAGAAATCCAATACTCACCCGGTTGTCGTTCAATGTCCATCTGGAATTGGACGAAGCGGTTTGATTTGTTTACTTACGGCAGCCATATTCGATGTCGCCAACAACGCTAATTGTATACCGGATTTAACTGTTTTGGCTATAAAATTATCTAATTACAGAAAAAACATTCTTAGAGATCGAGAACATTTAAAATTTGGTTTTGAAAGTTTATTGGCTTACATCAGACAGGTTGTTTCCGACAGTAAGTTAAAATTGTTTTGTTTTATTGACATTTACCTTATTAATTTGGAAAAATTTTATGATATCAGGATATTTATTTCGTAATTGGCAAAATTGTCATCATTTAGAGAAACTGGGGTGGTTAGGGTATTTTAAAAGATAAAAGAATTATTTATTTGGACTAGTTAAACTTTCGATTTGGGGCTGGTGCTTTTCAGAATTTTATTTAAAAAAAATCTTTGATAAATCTCATTTATTGGATACCCTGTATATTGCTCTCTACAACTTGTATCTGAGACATTTTTTACTATCTCAAATAGGAAAGCAGCTAAGGTCCATTCACACCTTGTATGCCAGAGCATACAATTCTTTTTTAAATGACAGTTTGGATTTAATTCAGAGGTGTTCGTAGTTATCACGGAAGTGACTCCTATTTATATCCTTGTCAGTCACCTCATTTTTTGTGGTTTATTTTTCAAAATAAGGATTTTGATTTGAAGAAACCCAATTCAGATTTATATATTTATATTTTTCTTTTAGATAAACTGAGAAGGAAATTGAATGAACTTGGGCCTAAAGTTAAAGAAGAAATACAACCCATTCCAGTTATTCCCGAAATGAATGTTGATCCGTTAAGTACTTTGGATCCATTCTGGGCTAGTAAAAAGTAGTTATTTATTATATATTTTATAAGCAAACGTATTTTCCTTTATAATATTCAAGTTTATGTATATTTACACTTGTATTATATTTTTCATATATTGACTAATCGCGCCGTTTTAAGACTATAAATTGTATTCGCAAACATATTTGATTATTTATTAGATACGAAATTGTAAATCATTTAAACTAAATAATGGAATATTTCCTTATGTATATCATTTACTCTAAAGATATGCTATTATGTTAATCATATGTAATTTGTGTAATGCTGCAAAAGTTGTTAGAAAATAAACTGTCAAGTTAAAGGAAATGTTTTTTTTTCTACGATTACTATAAAAAATTCAATTATTTTTATTACTTTCTCATAACTCGAAAATGTTCACAGATATGTCTAAAAAGTGGACATGTCCAATCAAAAATGTTACGTGCTTACGCGAAATAATAATTTAGCCTCAATTCTTACAATTAAAGGCAATATATTGTTTAAAAAAGAAGAAAAAGCAAATGACTGCTTTTTTATGTTTTAACAGTTTTCTGATCAATTTTTAAGATATAGGATTTTTACCTCCCGCGATAAGAGTATTGTAATCTGAGATTATTTTAGATCTTCACGTTTCATCTTCAATTATTGTTTTTTTTAAACAGTGAGGCATTAAACATTAAAAAAATTTACTATCTTTTTTGTTTGAATTTTTTTTAAATTATGTAAAATATATGTTAAAAAGTATCAATTTAGGATTCACCCTATATGGGGTGTTAGTAAATAAGTGCGACAAACTTCAGGGGGTGGTTCTGCATGAAAAAATAATGACAATTTGCTATATAAACGTATGTCTGAAAATGCTTCGTTTACCGAATACGGGGGTGTTAAAGTTTTTCTTAAAAACTGATGATTTACTTATTGCTCTGAATCCCGTCGAGATATGCAAATTAAATTTGGTGGGCTTTAAGAGGTAGTTATTGCGCATTTTTGACATGCATTTAAGAACTTTATGTTCATCATTGGCGCGCATACGGGTAATGATCTCAATTGGACGTAGTTATGCAGAAATGATCCAATCCACAAATCTACCAGAAACGACTTGAGTAGCTTTTCGATATGTTAGCGTCCAAAATTATATTCTGTTGAAACGATCCAACCATTTAGAAATATATTAATAGTGGAAATCATAAAAATGTCCAAGCCCAGCCTTATTTTTCGCCCACTTCAATTTTGCAATAGTGTACCATGATACATGGACTAGTGGACTAGTCACCTTTTCAACCGGAGAACCAAATGTTCTATAGTTAATTTACAGAAATGATTCAAACTACTTGAATCATTATTGTAATTTAAAGTTTTAAGGAAGCCTATCTCCAAATGAAATGTGTATAAATGATCCAAATGGTTTGGATCATTTTAGCAAAATAAATTTTAATACTTACTTAAAGCTTTTGGTATTTTGTAACGTTTCAAGATCTTTGAATCATGTGCATTATTTACAGTAACACCTAATACTAAATTTTAAAATTACAGAATAGATCCGCGTGCTGTACACGCTTGAATTTCGAACGTTAGTCGTTTGTTGTTCTTTGAGCAGTGCAGTTGAATACTTATGTGCATTTTACACGTGTTTGTGCTAATCGTAATTTAATAAACTGTAAGATATTTTTTTGTAATAATCGGATTGTGAATCAAAGGATGAAGAGGAGTAAAAAAATTCTTGATATGGCTTTGGATTTAGACGACTGGGGATTAAATCCAAAAACATCAGGTATACCATTTTGCATTTTTTTTTTGTTAATTAGATTACAAGCTTGTTTATTTGCAGAAAACAATATATCAAATCCATCTGGATCGTCTGTTTCTCAAAAGGAAAATTTACGTCCAGGCAACTGTGATGTAGACGGTAAGCAGTGTTAGCTAGCTATTTTGGTACTACTATACAATGCATATAACGTGTTTTTTTTTTTTTTAGTAGGACCTTCATCAGCACTACTTCTACAATGCAAAAATCGTGAATCTTCTCTTCAGTTAGAACCATTAAAAAATGTGTTTGAAGACAATTTTATTTTTGATAGCGATGACAGTATTTTAGATCCCGACTTTTTGCCCGATCCCGATGATTTCGAAATGGTAAGTTTAGGACCACGCACACGTTTTATATGAATTGTGGATTTCGCTGAAATTTTACTGGTACCTATGTTGTCAAAAATACAACTTTTTGAGTGTTTCAAAAAAATTATGATAGTATAAAAAAATACGGTTTTTCTTTTTTAATAAAAAAACTGGATCCGGTTTATTTTGTTGTATTTATTAATAACAAATTCATAAAATAATAAAATTATTATTAGCTTTATTATTAATAAGGCTTGTCATCAAAATTACCTATTATAGGACAGATTGTTCAAATATTTCTTGTTTATTCTAGGAAATAGATCAAGTTACTGCATCTTCACCAAATTCACCTTTACTCTGTGATCCACTAATACCCATTCCACTACCCTGGAACGAAAAATCTGCAGTATCCCTAAATAATATGAGTACAAAGGAAACTGGGCGACCCAAAAAAGGTAGGAAGTTAAAATTTGGAGAATTCAATAGAAGTGAAAGGAAACAAAGGAAATACACAAATCAGTCCTATGTCAACACAAAAGGAAAACAAATATCCCCAAAAGTGTTTAGCGACTATGATTCACGGAATTTAAAAGAAATTGCATTTAATTCGTTTTACGAGCTAGGCAGTTACAATGCCCAAACGATGTTTATACTTGCTAACGTTAAGCAGGTGCCAAAAAAGAGATCGTATAGAGTAGTAACGACTGGCTCTTCGAATACCACTTCCAATAAACAGAAACAGTTCTCAAGAATTTATAGCTTATCGGGAATAAAAGTATGCCGATAAATGTTTATAAAAACATTAGGCATTAGTCCCCAAAGGGTAATTGTATGTTTAAAGAAAGCTAGGTCTCATTCACTGGTAGACCTTAGAGGAAAAAACCAAAGAGGTTGGAATACATTGCTACTAGAAGATAAACAAATCATAATGGACCATATAAACAGTATTCCACGATATCAGTCATATTATAGAAGAGCAAGTTGTTCTGATGCTATGTTCCTCCAGAATAATATGACTATAAAAAAACTATATGAACTGTACAACGAATTACTGACGCAAAAATTTCCTAACAGAAAAGCTGTTTCTTTTGCAACCTATAAAAAGATCTACCTAAAAAACTTTAATTTAAAGACAAAGCCATTGCACAAATACCTAAATGCCTAAAATGTGATACAATTCAAATTAAATTAATAAACGCTATGACAGAAGATCAACAAAAATGCATTACTGACCAACAAAATAATCATGTGAAACTTTGGAAAGACTTACGGCAACGAATGAAGCAGGATATAGCACACAGTAAGTTATTACCTGAACAAGAATGTATAACTTTTGATATGCAGCAAACTCTACCCCTACCTAGAATACCCGCAAATATTGTTTTCTATAAGAGACAACTGTGGATTTATAATACTGGTATTCACTCTGGATCAGATGATAAGAGTTACTGCTATGTTTGGGTTGAAGGAGAAACAGGTAAAGGTGCCCAAGAAACAGGTAGCTGTTTCATGTATCATCTAAAAAAATTTCTAAAATCTGGCGTAAAGAATCTAATACTTTGGAGTGATTCCTGTGGCGGACAGAACAGGAATATAAAGATAGTTTTATTACTTAAAGTACTTTTGGCAAATCACGCCACACTACAAACAATATCTCATAGATTTTTGGAGCCAGGCCACACTTACCTACCAAATGATACAGATTTTGGGAAAATAGAGACTGCTTTAAAAGGTCAACAGAAAATATACACACCAGATGAATATATAGATGTTATGAGGTCATGTAAGAAAAAAAAATCCTTTAACCGTGACCCGAATGAAGACAGTGGATTTCTATAGTACAGCAAAGTTAGAAAAACTCATTGTTAATAGGAAAAAATGGACAGCAGGAGAAAAATCAACTGGTTAAGAACTAAAGAAATATTGCTGAAGAAGGAAAACCCATATTCCATATACATGAGAAGTACATTTGACGAGGACTTCATTGAAGTAGACATTAAAAGGAAACCACTTCGTGGCAAACCTACTGTAGAAGCTTTTGAAGATAATCTCTTGCCTCTGTGGCCAAATGGCAAGGAGATTACAGCTGCTAAACTTTCTGATCTACAGGCTATGTTAGATCTTATTCCAAAAGATTGCCATTACATATATACAAACTTAGTGGGAAACGCATCACTCGAAGATGATATTGATGGGTATGCAGGAGAGCCAGATTATGAAATGGAAGATGATGAAAGTTAAAAACAACTTATTAGTTTTATTCTGTAGAATAAATACTTTTAGTTATTCACCTGTTATTTTTTTGGAATAAATAAATAAAGAAATATTGTATTTTTTTTGTCAAAATGTGGTGTTTAATAGGTATATTTTATTTCGCGTAAAATTTTATTTGATCATGGATCATTTCTGCAAAAGTCAAATTTCCATTTTTGACTTTATTTTTTAATTTTGCAATAGTGATCCAGTTAATTTATATTTTTTTCTCTTAAATAATGGACCTTTTAGATATGCTATAGTGACAAAAAAGCGTGGATTACATCTTTGGTGTAATTACATCAACACAATACTCGCTATATATTCTATTTTCATCGCCTAGAGAATTTAACTTTAACGTCATTTTTCTCAAAATATGGTTTGGGTGGATTGGATCATTTCTGCATAACTACGTCCAATTATTTTAAAGAAAAAAATGGTACGCCACTGAGATATCTCAAATTAAAAATCACTTTTGAGTTCCTCGTTCAATCTGTGACAAAAAATCTTTTCGTATGGGGCATATCTTGACCGGTTTCAGAGCAATAAACAAATCGTCAGTTTTTAAGAAAAACTTTAACACCCCGTATTCGGAAAACGAAGCATTTTCAGACATACGTTTATATAGCAAACTGTCATTATTTTTTCATGCTGAATCACCCCCTGAAGTTTGTCGCACTTATTTACTAACACCCTGTATATAAATTTAACAAAATTAAAAATATATAAAAACAAAATATCGCCCCCCGCGGCCTCTCCCTAGCTACGCCAATGCTTCTTATGCTAAATTTATGTTTACAAAAAATACGGCCAAGCTCAAATTAGGGGCCTCAGGTACAACAGTCTCCCCTATATAATTCTGACGACTTTGGTATATAGCAGGAGTGGCCAACTTTTCTGTGTATAAGATCTGCTTGATGGACTTGTCATAGGCGTAGTCTAAGGGGGAAG